TCTCTGGCTAATTTTCCTTTCACTGACCACTCAATTGCAGGCTCTGTTGATGAAGAACACCGGTTTTTTGCATTTCACGACTGGGGGATTTGCGTGTATGAGCCGACAACTTGCCGCCTCCATCACATGATTGAGGGAACCGATATTATTCCTGGAACTCAGGTGAGGCTGTTTCCAAACCTCTTTGCCCTTAACCAGCACTTTTCCATTCAGGAATATGTATGTGGTGGTCGGGGAACTTCATGTTCATGGGGAAGGGCGGTAGCGATTTCCAATCGGTACATTTACGCTTCTCAACCCACTCTGGATAGAATCCTGATTGTTTCCACTGTGCAAATGGCTGTGGTTGATGTTGTTGGTACCGATAAAGTCCCAGTGGAACTTGGGAAAGTGCTACATTTGGACCAACTGTGGCTCTTGAGCTGGCGCGAAGGAAATGACACAGGGATAAAAACCGTTCAGGTACCAAGATTTTTCGTTTGATGATTTCCTGTTTCTCACAGCGGGTTTGGTTTAGGTTATCAGGGATGCCGGACAAAAGAGGAAGCACCACACCGTTCATCCAGAGCCGATAGATGGACAGTTCGATATGGTGAAGGAACTGTTTTTGCCGTCATCTTTTCAGGTATAGCTGGCAAGGCAGCGCAAAGTTTTTCGTTTTGATTTTTTTGTCTCTGTGTCTTTTAAAACGGTGCTTAGATCGTTTTACGGATTTTTTGTGGCAATTTAACTAAGTTCTATAAGAGGTTTTCACTCTTTACGGACAAAACGCTTTTAAGCATGCATTTTTCTGTTATCTCAGATACTTAATTTTGTAAATTCATTTGTGTTAGCCGAAGGAATATGAGGCAGATGCAGACACAAAAATTCGGATTTTGGGTTATGGAAAACGAAAAGCTCTATAATCTAATTCATAAGCAAGTTATCCAGATTTCGACTAACATCAGCGACTAACACGGTTTCGTTTGCAGTTTTCCTTGTTTTTTTTTGTGGAAACCTTGAATTTATTTAAAAATCATGGTGATTTTCTAGATATTATCGCTGCTTGAAATTAAGTTAGAAAAAAATTTGAAAATATCAAACCAATGTAAATTGTATATTACATTTTAACTATTTTGAGGAAGCTTGTGTTGGCAAGAACTTGCGAGATGTTCGGCCCACTTTTCTCATTTATATGCTGAATCTGGAACAGCTTTGCCACCAAAATGCCCATTTTTTTGCTAAGAACCGAAAATTATCATAAAATTATAAAGTTAATTCACATATGAGCGGATTAGTGAGTCAACAACAACGCAGAATATCATTGATATCGCTCAAAGAAAATTTAAAATTAGATGCAAATTCAGCTAATAATGATGTACTTTTAGGAGATTTCACATTACACTTATAAATATGGATACGTAACTCACTCTAACCAACGAGGCTTGTATAAATTGGATTTGGAAAACTTGAGATACACCAGATCTGTGGATTTAACGCCTTATAACTGCGTTCCGGAAGAAATTCAATTTTCAGCTTTATGTAAGTGAAGTGTGCTCTAATAGTTAAGAGTTGATACTAAGCTGGTTATAAGCTGGAAAATGAAGCAAAAAATTGCCTGAATGACCTCAAATCATGCAGTAAAATATCGTTTTTGTTATGTTAAAGTTTACTTTTTGCGCCACTTGTTAATTCCAATCAAAAGGGATGCAAACTTATATTTATTCAAGGGTTGAACTAAACTTCAACCCCGATCATACTCACTATAATACAAGTTTGCATCTTCTTTGATAGGATTGTCTTCAGTGCGTACACACCCACTTCCGTCTGGTCTGTTAATAGTTGATTATACGGAAAAAATTGCCTTTCACTTGAAAGCTTTTATGGAACATAAATAATTGTACTCCTCAACACTAGCAGTTCCTCAAACTATAAACAACTGAAATATAAACTGCTACTTTCCCTGCTACTAAAACCCCTTTGATTATAGATGGATTCGTTTTCATGGAATGCAAAGAACCGGTAACCAGAAAACCAACCGGGCAACTTGTTTTGGATTATTTAACAGACGCTGTTATATCCACATCTGCCACTCTTTTTGGAAGACCCTACATTTCTCCGGATTCGCGAAAGTTGGTAACTTTCGATCGAACTCCCACTGGCTCTACTTTAATCGTGCAAGAAATTAAAGGTAAAAATAGCAATATAAATGCCGAAGCTTGAATTATGCCAAGTTGTTTCAGGGCACGGTCTCGAGTTTCTGTTCGATGTGAAAACCACTCTGAACATCTCAGATATCACTTTCTATCCGAGTCAAACCACGCACAGCTACGATTTGTATGCTAGCGGACAGAACAAAGAAGATTTGCTGTTTGTTAATCTGAATACTGGTAAGTAAAATAGGGTGAGGAAAAGGCGACACTTTAAATGCGCTTTTAGGAAAAGTGGAAATTATCACTGGAGTGGGAATAGCATCAACAACATCCACATGGAACAACCCAGCCAGGCCCATAACAACTGCTGGTCGATTTGGAGCCTTCCTGGCCAGTCCCAGTAATCATGCTCTTTTTATTATCAATGGACAGTCCAGGACTGTAAATTGCGAAATTAGCGCAGTCGCCAAACCCTCGCAGATCGTATGGATAACTCAGATATATCATTAGAAGTTATGTTTCTAGGACAGTGTTGTATATTATTTCTATAGCATCAAAAGCTCAATTTTCTGAAGCAATTCTTCATTTGCAGGGTTTTTATTAACTCCATAATACTCAGCAGCCGCAGAAATTGAAAAGATAAATCATTATAATATTTTTGCATATCAACTTGGCATTCCATTTACTTATCAGTGTGTACATATTAACGCGGTCACTTAACTTATGGGAAGAAAATGTATTGTTAAAGTATTTACAATTTCTATGAAATGAAACATGAATAATCTATAAGTTTTAAATTAGGTGGGTATCGTAGGGAATAAGAACATTTATCACCGTTTCCAAATTTATAAACTTATGCTTGAACGACTTACTTATAAAAATATTTAAAACACCATAACTTATTTATGATTGAAAAATAAAAGAATTGTTTAACAACGTGCTTAAGTTAGTTTTGCAATTGATTGGTCAAATGTTTAGATCATGTATGTTCAAACTCGTACCTATTCATGTATATAAATCTATTCTGACAAGCTTTGCTGTATACATGGCATAGAATATTTTTGTGAAAAATTAGGTATTAACATTTTTATTCCTGTTAAATGATGTCTAAAGCTAAGTTGTAGTTAAGTAGAAGTTGCAATTGATCAGACTGATTCTTTTCAAGCAGATGAGAAAAACAACAAAGTGTTATATTTTGTTTATCCGTTTATAGACTAGACGTAAATAAAGCCAAAAATGTTTCACTTACTATTATTAGTTGGAAACTAATCTATTAATAAACTACGTTATAAATATGTATAAAATAGGTATGTTATAAATGGCGAAGTGTGTAGGTTTTTCTTTCAAATTTGAAATTATGCCAGAGAAACCAAGTTTATGCTTAGCTTTATTAGTTAATTGTAGTCGACATCACATAGGAAAATGTTTCTGATGTTCAAATTATGATATTGTTTTGCTAAAATAAATCTACAATTAATTGCTAGTTTTATTCAGGCAAAACTAGAGGTAAATGCTTCAAATGCTGCTGGAAATAATGTTTCCTTCGGGAAATTCCTTAGTAAGGAAGAATCGCTGGGTAGGGTGTAGATCGATGATACATTTTTTTGACCAAGCGAATGATTGATATTTAATAAGCATCTAGACATTTGCAGCTCAGGATTTTCCAGAAGCGGTTAATAAATAAATCGATATTATTAAATATGCAGTTTGGCGAATGAACGTTACATATTGATTAAATGTAGGTTAAAGGTAATTGGAATTTAAATGCTAAAGATGAAGTAGAAACAAAACGTTTTTTTAAATTTATGTTTGATTCTGCTGTAAGTGGTTTGCATTATTTAGTAAGGTGTTTTAAAAAGTATGCACATATACACAAAAAATCATGAATATTTTCATATAAACAGACTGTTTAAAACTCGTGAATTTTCGGGCTATTACACAATATATTTGATCCATTTTGAAAGTTGCCAAGAAGTATGTTTCCTGACCATCCTAAATTGGCAATTCGTCAATTTTTTTCATTTTTCAACTCATTTGCCGCGGTTTATATTCTTCAAAATTTGCTACTGATTTTCTACTAAACAAAATCGAAATTAACTTTATTGGCGGTGCGATTGATGCTTTCCCCACAAGCCAATTAAACAAGTCATCTAAAAGTGATAAAATAAGCAAAAAACATTAAACGACTAAATAAAATCGATGAAACGAAACAAAGATGCGAAGGCAAAATCGATATTGACTGCTACCTTAAAAACGAAAAATCGACATGATTATACTCTTCAGGTATTCAAATATTTATGGACTGCATTACATTTGAATTTAAAGTGCAGACCCTGCTCGTTTCCAATACTTGATCGCTTCAACATTTAGGAAACAAAGAACGATGTTTTTGCGTCGATCTGCAAAGACGTTCTTGCAATGGTTGACGATTGAAACTATTCACCCTGCTTTCCATCTGATACATATTTAATGGGTTTGCAATCTGATGAAAAGATGTTTATTTGCCATTAAATAAATGGCTTCAGAAGATTCTCATCATACCTGTTTGCTCTAGTGAAATATTTGGATAACGTTTGTGAGCAAAAGAAGCATTTGTTGAGCAATGAATAATTAACAAGCAAATGTCGAATTTTAAGCTTTCAATAGCGTTGTGTTGCTCATTTTCCTTCACCCTGACTAAACCGCATAGCAAATAATTGATGGCTTGCAATTACCTGTTCCATGAATGATTGCACTTGATAGTTATCCCCTTTTTTCGCTTATTACCCTATTATTTTCCTTCTTTATTCTCTCTGGTTGGAGAATATTGCATATTTATGCAAATTTCGAAATAACTTGCTCAGGGCTAATAAAAATCGTGGGGTTTTAAAAATACCTGCCTCGAGAAGGAATTATGTGCTCCAAGAGAGGCGAAGTTGAAGAGTAGATTATTACATTAGAAAACTGTTGTTGAACTGACTTTTGCTGCTTTGTCTCAGGAAAATAAAGGGCTGCTGTTAGTAGGAGTTACGGCAGGAAAATTGCAGACTGACTCTTTATATCAACTTTTTCCAGCAAAATGATTTGCGTTTTGTTGTGATGCTTTGGAAAAAAATACAATAGTCTCACGAAACACTACAGGAAATTTAGTGCAATTCCTGCACCCGCGATAACTATGCAAATGGCCAGAAATATTTACATTTTACTTTAGCACCTTTCGAGTCGCTCTAGGGGCTGTTGCACTCTGTCATGATTTCCTTTGAAATACAAATCGGAGAATACATAAACCATTAGCAGGAATAGCCTGAAACATGCAGGCTTTGGAACGGCGAATTTATCGAATTTGTTCCGGGAAAAACACTTGAACGTCTTAATCCAAGTCGTAACAGGGCAAAAAGTTCCATTAATATAACCCACGAGAAATGTACAAGTTTTCTGCAAAATTCCAGCAAATCTCGCATGCGCTGTTTGCATTTCTGCTAAATCAGTGGATTTCTTTGCTATCGCCAGGCTGAATAAAATCCAATTTTTCAAAATTGCTTAGATGTAGTATTTCAAGTCGATCCGTGAAAGGCAACGCGGGCACAGAAAAATTGCAAATGCCAGTCAAATGAAAAGCAATTACAAAATATCATCTCTGCATTTTTACTAGAGAGGCTTCAGTTGGGAGTATTTCAATTAATCCTTCACAGAGTATTAGAAAATTAAACATCTCCTATACTGCGATGGAAAAATTTGATTCAAAGAATATGTCTTGAAGGGAAAAAGTTAATCAATGTCTTAAATTAACGACTTTTGTTGCTTAATGATCCCGATCCGAAAATCCGCGCTCAGTAATATATTGGCGCAAAAACTATCCTACTGCACCAAGTGTAAAATTATTCCTAATTTGAATTTCTGAATATACTTCCAAGTGTTCCAGCCCTCATGTCTTTCCTATTTAATGCAGCTTTAAACCCGACTTTATCGCGTTTAATTTCACAAATTAATTGTTTACATGCGTCATTTCATTAATAAGGGCGAATTCGCTTACATTATGAGCGTTTGGGAAATAATTCCATAATACAAAGCGGGAAATTGCCTCGTAGAAGCCAATATTTCAGCAAAACGAGCGTGACATTTGTCGTCGACATTTTAATAAACATAAAAGTATTTACTGCTTTGTTTTAGGTGACTGTATTTTTGTACAGTGGAATTCAACACTGGCACGCCAACGCCACATAAATTAACTTGTAACAATTAATCACTGGACCCCAACTCAAATTTCCACCGCTGACTAGTTTCCTTTTATTATTATCATTATTAGTTCAGTGTATAAATGATGTCACACCCATTTTGCTAAAAATTATGCCGCCAAAATGGGGCGGTGGTTTTATATCAGGTGACTATTTTAATCAATCTAAACACGGAAAATACATCGTTACATGCCCGATCAGTTCACTCCATTGCAAGTCCTGATATCAAAAGGCGCTGGGAGCGGAACAATGATAAAAATGTAAAACTATTTAAATTAGTCCTCGAAAGAAATATTTTCATTAAACTCGTTGGCTCGATGTTAGGGTTGCCTGGCGAATTTAATTAAAAGGGGGTGCAATTAAACGAATTAGCAATTAACCAATTTAAAGTTTGGAGGCAGCAATTTGCGCTAATGTTATTTGATTTGTTCATCGTCAGTTAACGATTTTTGCGAAGATGTTTCTGGTTTCTTGCAGAAGCTTCTTTGCCCAAAATTTCACAAGGGACAATAGATTCGAAAAAATAAAATTTCTCAAAAGAGTTCCAAAGAGCGTAAATTTACACGATTGGGAAGCTTCTTAGGTCTAAAGCACTCAAAAATAGATAGCTAAGCGTTTAAACCTTCCTCAGTATTTTTCCTGCAGCAATAAATATTCCCTTCAGGATAATGTTAGACAAAAAATATAGTAGGTACATACAGCGCGCAAAAACTACAGGCGTGTGTTTACCCCATTTTCGTGCAATAAAAATATTATATTAGGGCAATATTTTCAATTGAATTACCCATTCGCTCGGACCCACTTGGATCGATATATTTTTATTATTTTTGCGAAGCTTTTTATCGGCCCCTGATCGAACAAATTACGTTGCTTATATATCGTTGATCGTGCTTCAAAAAGCGGCGGTTATTTTTATCTGGAGTAATTTTCCACTCTTAGATGTGTCTGGGCACATTCATTTTAAAACCGAAAAGTCGCCGCATCAAATGCTCGAATCTCCTTTCATTTGCCTAAGGAGCATAATTCTTATTATTTTCCAACAGCCTCACCTGCCTCCATTCTAACAGCACGCTGAACTGAGGCAACTTTAAGGGCTGTCAAGCGGAAAATGTATGGAACGAGACTTTCGAATTTAAGTGATGGCTTTTGCTGTTTCTCAGTAAATAAGAATTATTACCGTTTAAATCACGCTGTAATATAGTGTAAGGAATACACTTAAATACCACTTCAGCGTACTTGCTTCGAGCCAGCCTTTATACTTTGGAGCTCAAGTAATTGATTTTTGTGAAGAAACATTGGGAGTGGACACGATGCAGCGCTTGATACAGATTAGGGAGTAAAGACTAAATAGTTCCCAAACCTTTCGAAAGGAATTTGAGCCAATAAGGGCTTAATCCCGCTAGGTTGAAACACTATTCAAATTACTACATGTAATGTTTTCCTATTGTCGAGTCCACCGAAACTATCTGAAGATGTGAACACTTCGAGCAACTCTAAACTCTACATGAGCTCCCTTTATGTCTCATTATTCGGCACTTTGTATTCCGCCGAGGGATAATCACTTTTAAGGGTCATAATTCCCATTCTTAATGAACGATTATCCCGATTAATTTTCTACCAATAAAACCCAAGTTCCGTCGTAATTGCAAGTATCATTTATTTTGTAGAGACCAGCGACTGAGCCAAATTGCACCCACTTTACACTAGATTTATTCGGCGTAAGCGGTCGAACGTCTTGAGGTCATTTCGGAATTTTGGGCATTACATCGGTTCCAGTAAATCGTGAATTCGCTGGCCGGAATATCAAATATTGTGGTGCATTCGCTTTTTCTAAATCCCAAAGTGAATCCCCAGATTATCCGTAAATCAAGATCGGAGATGTTGGCCGGGGTCGATATTCGGTCTAAAGAGTTTCGACCGGATGCAATATTTTTTCTTTGGTTTTTTGTGTAATTTCAGTTCAAAGGATCGATTGGGAGATTCAGCTGCGAGCCAACTTATTTTGGAATGTTTCCATAATTCAAAGTAAGGAGTTTCACAAAATTCAATTTCGCCAATAAATTGTAATCAATTTTTGCTGTAGTTTTCAGTTCTTTAAATTATTTATTAGGGGCAAAATTCTAGTCAATAATCTGTTTGGAAACATCCAGCTGTGAAATTCCCGTGAATAATTGACGCTCACATGGAGTTAAACATGTTTTGCTTTTTAGTGTTTTACATTTTGCCTCATATTTCTTCACACTTATTATTTTATCTGAGATTT